ATTTTATGGTATAATGTTCACACTGTTCTCAGATTACTTTTTTTGGAATTATTTAAATTAAACTTCTGGAACCTCTGATGTTTCATGTAATGTGTGTAAAACAATTCTTATCTTTAAGATCTTTAGTTGAGATGAATATGGACAGTATATGTAAAGTCTAAATCATTGTGCCTATGATATAATTTACAAGATAGTTTTAATTCCTTTAAGCAGCCTATCCCAGGAGGGAATTAGATGTACATGAGGATATTAAGAGGAAATCTTTGAAAGAAAACTCATGAAAGGATAAAGGGAAGCATGGAACAGTGTTAGACTGTGGCACAGTTCTTTCCCCATGTACATTATAGGTTGAAGGAAGGATGATTGTCTATAACCATTTGAGACAGAATTGTACTAAGAGAGGAGAAAACTTCCAGAGGACCTCAAGCCAACATTGTCTTTCATAGGATTTCCATACTTCATAGGCCTGAGCCTTTCTTATTATCATTGCCATGCTCAATAATTGACTCTGGGTAACTTGTGGAAATCATGGCTTTGTTGCTCACATGATGAAAGGATTTGGCAACATAGCAGCTGCTGGTTTTGGTTAATTATCATCCCTGCAGGTGAAGATCTGCAAGACAATTTTTATGGTTCCTATAATTCTTGACCCTTTTCAGTATAGACCTACTTCTGTGCACAGGAACAGGCTTCTATTATCATGTTGGCTTCTCTCCTTGAGAATTCAGCAGATGCAGGTTCCTGGATGAACTGTAGTCCTAGTAGCTTCTTTAGATCTCAACACCTCATGTGGTCCTTGTCCTCTCTTCTCCACTATCCATTCCAAATTTTCCTCACCCATAAAACTGGGAGATGATGGTTTTGTCCTGCTTGGTGATTTGAATAAATACCTTTTTCTTGGTAGTTTTACACATATCTCCCTATCTCATTGCCTTCTGCTGCTCAGTAGCAATTACCCTTACCATCATGGTGACTCTTCCTCTCTAGTAATCCATAACAGTAATCTATAACTGTTAGCTCAGTGGAATTTTTCTTGAAAAGGGGAATAGAGTACAACGCAGATTTAACACATTATTGCAAAGTGAAGAATGACTACACACATTTTAGAGCGTTGCCTCCAACTTTAGCTGTGCCTTAAAAGATCTTTCCAGCCCTCTGCAGTTCTCATGATTTCTGGATGATGACCTTTATGTACTGGTGTACTGGAATCAACATGTACCCAATAACAACATTTTAGAACATTTCTAACTGGATAAGATTCTATTGGTAGCTTCTGTTGGCATGGAAAAGATGTGTATACCACATAAATGTGTAAATATTACAAATGTATCTCCAATGAGAGTCAGTTGTTAAATATTTACCAGCACATCATGAAGTGTGTGATACTCTCACACATCCGAGACTGTGAACAGAATAGTCTGGTTGAGTGATAAGCTGTATTGGATATCATGTTTGTGGATCAAGACTTCCAGAGCTCCCAGTGATGGCTGAAGCTCTATTGGTGTAATAAGCAAGCAAACATCATATTCTAGGAAAAATATATCTGAGAAGATGAACCCATTAATGTTTACGTGATTGAAGGAATCCAACATAGTTAACTTGCCACCAAAATAATATTGCCATGTTGGTGGCTCAGTGTTAGGATTTGAGGTTTGAAGGAAGACACAGCCTTCTTTAAATTGTATTCCGACCATTGCTTTACATTTTAGTGTCAAGAAAATTTACAGTTGATATTAGTATTGCAGATATAGTACATCTGAACTTGATTAAAAATTATAGTTGCCGGGCTGGAGATGTGGCTCAAACGGTAGCGCACTCGCCTGGCATGCGTGCGGCCCGGGTTCGATCCTCAGCACCACATACCAACAAAGATGTTGTGTCCTACAAGAACTAAAAAATAAATATTAAAAATTCTCTCTCTCTCTCTCTCCTCTCTCACTCTCTCTTTAAAAAAAATTATAGTTGCCTTTTTCTTTTTCCCTTCTTTTCTTTGTTGATCTCAACAACATATATTAGCAAAGATGATAGTAATCACTGAGGTTATGATTCATTTGGGTACATACTATAAATTGTATGTTAAAATAAATAGCCTAAAAAATTATACATTAGTAGTTTTTCAACATTTCCTAAACTACCAGAATACTGATGTCTTTCATTTCTCTCCAAAACAATAAAACAAAAATAAAATGAAAAGAAAAATTATTAAGAAATTTTTAATATAAGATTTTAAGTTATAGTTCTAAATTTATTTTAAAAATCAGTTCTGAAGGTTAATCAATTTATATATATATATATATATATATATATATATATATATACTGAGGTCAAGTTCTAAGTTAACTTGGAGACAAGATATTTATATTTCTAAATCTAAATTTACCTGAAAACAGAATTGATTAAGTAATAGATTTTGGAAATAACTTCATAAATCATATAATTTATGTCCATTTTATACCTAAAATGTCCAGAATACCTAAGTGGTTAGCATGTAAAGGAAAGATATTTATATAGCCCAAGATTCTAGAGGCTAAAAAATCCAAACAATATGGTGCCAAGTCCTCTGGTGAAGGGCCCCCAGGTGCAACACAACATAGTAGAGAAGAGGAAAGAGAAATGCTTACATGCAGAGGAAGCCAAGCACAAGGAATGGCTTTGCTTTATAACAATCTTCTCTAGAGAAAACTAACCCAGTCGTGTTGGAACTGTGTTAATCACATTTAAAGGTCAAGCCATCATGAAATAATCATCTTCCACTAGGTCCAACCTCTTAAGGATTCACCACCTTTTAATATTTTCTATTCCGCAGATGATCTTTATTCAAACCATAGAACTTACTAAGTTATTTTAAAACTAATGAATTTAATTTGATTAATTCATTTTGTAGTCACATATAAAGACTAGTTGCTCCAGAGAGGAAAGACAATTTTCTTTTTTATTTTAATAGGGGAATTTGGTAATTTGCCAAGGTGTTCTTGAATTTGCAATCCTCCTGCATATAGTTTCTCAGTAGTTGGGATTATAGGTATGTGCTACTGTGCCCTAGTAGAGCTAAAGAAAAACATAGAAGTAATTAATAGCAGCTTTGGGAAAATACCATAATATGAAAAAAATTATATTTTAAATAAATTTTCACTGAAGAAAAATATTTAATAATCAAAACTGTAATAAGACTTATTATATTGGTACATATATGCTATTAAAGAGAATAATTCTATCTGCAATGGGGAGTCTTATAATAAGCAAACTAATGAATAAGTGAACTTCCATTAATATGTGAGGGCAAATGGCCATTTTATTCTTTTAATATTTATTTTATCACATTGAGAATAAATGTTTTCTCAAAATTCATTTAGCATTTTATATAGGTATAAAATGCTAATATATTTACAAAACATATATATTTTGTAAATGTTTAATCAGTATCTCACTTTTCTTTATTATTTGATCTCCCAATATACATCAGCTTTAGTGTACTACATATATTATAGTAGTAGTTGAAATATTTTTTTCTGTGGTTTGCTTTTTAATTGATTATATTGTTTTTGAGTTAAGTAAGTTAACTAAGGTGGTAACTTAGGTCATTTGTCTGTATTTATCCATCTACTTCTGTGAATATTTATTTTCAAAGTACTTTTATTTCTCAGTCTACACTTAACTATTGGTACTTCTTAGGAAGCTTTTCCTAGGGAGATGTAAACTACACCAAATTCAAGCTGTGACCCAGTGCTGATGACCCTCACATTTATATTATCGGCCCAAATGTCTCCTGTGCTCTAGCCAGATTCCTGTAAATTGCCATCTGGGTGTTCCCCATTCACCTCCGATCAAAGAAATCTCAAATTATACTTGACAACATTTTCTCTCTCCATAAATTTGCTCACCTCAAGTTAACAGAAATAACTGTTCATGTGATGGGCTTGAACTGTGTGATCTCTGCTATCCTCTCCCCTCTACTCTTGGGTCATTAGTGTCTCTTAAATCTACCATTTCGTCTTCTTTCCATCTGCCACTGTCTTTGTTCAAATGTCAATTTCTCTCACAGAGAAACTTATTTCTTTCCAATCCTTGAAATTGATCTTTCTAAAGTTCCTGTGCTAATACTTCTATTTTCATTTATCAAATCTAATCTAATTTTTTTGTGTGTGGAAAAATATAGTTAAACTTGTTAATGATATATTCTTAATAGGATTTTGAGAATTTTATCCATTAATATTGATTTTTGGTATCATTCAACTATTATCATTTTCGTAATTGAATAAAAATTGTGTTGTTAATGTGCAGCAGCACGAATAAAACTCTTCTAGAGTTAAGATATGTTGATGGCAGCAGGAACATTACAAATGTTTTTGGTAAAAACAGTCTCACAATTAGACTGCTAATGATACCTCTGGTTGCATTAAAAACCAGTGATGTTTATAACGCCTGTGCTACTAGACAGCTTTCCAAACTCCTGACAGAAACAAGTAGATGAAAATAAACAGTCAGACCTTGACATTATTAAATGATACATGAGACAGTTATGCTAATTTAACCTTTGACTTATCCATCATTTACTACCCAAAATCTCTTTTGAAGTAAAATTTTCATTCCATTACTTAAAAAATGTGAGTCTGCACATATTTTTTCATTAAAAATACATTAATTTTTCTGAGAAATCACTAGAAAATTGAATCTCTATTTGATTTCAGAAGGCAAAACTAAATAAAACATGCATATATTTTTATGTCAATTAATTTTACAAATCAACCTTCACCAAGATTTTAGGTTAAAATGATAACTGCTTGTTTTATTTATAATAAGTGAAGAAAGACTATCTTTTTTATACTATGATGTCGTTTTATTTTGCAGCAAATGAAAATAATTGTGGATTTATGAAATAAAATAGTGATGGTTTGTTATTACTGAAGCTGAAAGAATGAATGAGAATGAAAGTAGGAATTTTCTCAATTTATTCTGTTCTATTATGCTGTTGAGGACTGGTTCTGTTTTGCTTTATACAGGTGATTAAAGCAGTAGAGGAAGGCTACCGTCTGCCAAGCCCCATGGATTGTCCTGCTGCTCTCTATCAATTAATGCTGGATTGCTGGCAGAAAGACCGGAATAGCAGGCCCAAGTTTGATGAAATAGTCAACATGTTGGACAAGCTGATTCGCAACCCAAGTAGTCTGAAAACTCTGGTTAATGCTTCAAGCAGGTAAAAACCAGACCTGAGCAATTTCACTGAATGTTTCTCATTCAGAAAGATGCCACAAATATTTCATCAATTAAATCATTCTTACATACATGTTAATCTATGAATTTGTAAGACACTGATTTATTTGAATATAGCTTTTTGTCTTATAATGAAGGAAATATGTGATAATACTTAAAAGCATTGTTACCCGATATGATAATTAATGTGCCTGTTGCAGGAAAAAAAATTAGCTACATTCAGGTAGCAATAAAAAGATAATACTCAAGTGGTGTGTTTTTGTATGTTTTTGGAGGATAGGTGTAGACTGAGGAATAAAGAAAGGCCATTTAAAACCTTATATATTTTATATTTTAAACCAGAAATGTCTAACCAAAATTACACTTTTATTTCTTTAGAATACATTTTAGCATCTGTAATTAAATATAAATAGGTTTAGTGTTTTTATTTTATGAGTACTGAAAACTTAGATACCCATTTTGCTCATATTCGGTTACATAAGATTATTTGGTTAATCATTTAGTGGGAAGTTTGAGCAAGATTTAAAGCTGACAAATAAGTAATATTGTGAAGAAAATTTGTGTGAGCAAATATTCGTATTTCTACTTTTCTGAATGGCAGCATAAATGCATTTAATAGTGTGGCACACTTGTAAATTATGTTTTTTCATTATCTAAAAAACTGCCATTTTATTCTAATATATATCAGTTTGATTATAAACTAGAAAATTTACCAGGTTGTTGTTTTAACTGTGATTGAAGCAGTTGTCTATTTTGACAAGAAATAATATTATGCAGATAACTGAATTGTTTGCCTGTTAGCGTGAACTAAATGAGAAACAATTTGTGGATCAAGTTACATAAGTTCTATGATTCTGACATAGCATTTGCTTACTAGACTAAAGGTCATTTTAAATATAAATGAGGAAGAATTGTCAAAATCTGTTAAGGCATCATTGACTTCCTGAGGTAACAAATGCAGAATGAATTTTCATAGAAAATTTTTTTTCTGTGTGTTGCTCTCTAATGTCTAATCTTAAATCGCCTATTGTCATGTAAATTATTAAGCCTTTTCTGCTTATTTGAATTATGTTGTCACATATGGACATAGGAGAGGAAATAATAAAAGAAATTGTTAATGTTCTAAATTATATTAAATTGCTTGGCCATCATAATTGAGCTTGAGAATAGTTTAAAGTTTTTAAGAATTTACACATTTTCTTCTTAATACATGGAATTTGGCTTGCTAGTTTTTGTTTGAGCAGGTTTGGCTTTCACACTATACTGTCCTTTGTGCAGTCATCTGCAAATCCTAAGTCTTAAAGTCATTAGTTCCTGGTTCACTATTGTTTTTTCCTCCCCTACTCATGTCACAAGATTTGGTGGTTTCAATAAGATGATTTTCCAACATCTTTTAGTTTCTTGGAATTATTTCTTTCAATTATTTTGAGTTCTAACTTACTAAGACTCTCTTTTCTATTATCATATTGTAGGTCTTGTTTTTACCAGAAATTGAAACTCTTGCATTTCATCTTCAAAGTCATACTTTCCAACTATTTTCTCCTAAATTTCTATCTCAAACAATATTTGGAACCCATTGCATAATATTTAAGAATTACTGAAACTTATTCATTTAATTATTCAACAAATACACACCATTCTGTCCATGTCATACTGTTGGCTAAATGCTGATTATACAGCATTAGGTAAATAGACCTAGATATGTACTTTTATGCTACCAACACACAGTTGGAGGAGAGAGATATTGAACAAAATAAAAGTTGCAAAAACAGTTGTGTTCAATTTTGGAGTAGAGAGTGAGAGTAGAAGTCAAAAAGATAACTTGGAGGCATTAGTGACTGTGCAAGTGAGACATATGTGTTGTGTTTGTCAGTTTTTCGTGACTGTGATACAAACACATAACAAGAACAACTTATAGAAGAGATTTATTTTGGCTCATAGTTTCAGAAATTTCAATCCAAAAGAAGAAACATCGTGGTGGAAGGGAACGGCAGAGGAAAATAGCTCAGCTCATTGTCACTATGAAGAAAAGAAAAGGAAGGGGTTAGGGGACAAGACGGTTCTCTTGGGCATGCTCCCCACCACAGTGATCTATTACTTCCAACTAGAAGCCACCTTTTCTACAGTTTCCACCTCCTACCAGTAGTCCACCAAATTATTAGTCTGCTGAGGGCCATTACCAAGTAGGAATGACGCATCGAAATTTCCTTGCCAAGCATACCCCATGCTGCTTAGAGGACATTCGATGGGACATTGCATGCATGCTTTAATAAGGTGACCTTGCTCAAGGACCAAGGTGGATCCGGGTTTAGAGCTGATCAGGTTTGAGGAAGTAACCGGCTCCTTGAGTTTAAGGTGTTGCCAGTTTAAGATAATGGGTTTTAGGGAAGTTGGAAGTTGAAGATTATTGCTGGGATTAGGGTGTTCCTGCTGCTTGTTCCCGTTGAGTTCTCGTGAGATTAAAAGGGGATTTGGAGAGAGCCTCGTGGAGTAGGTGGATTGTGCGGGAGACGGCAGAACGCGATTGTCCCTGGACCTGTGTGGAGGCGGTGTGAGAGCTGGAATAAAGAATTGCTGTTTGAATCTACAAAGTGTGGGTGCCTCCTGAATCTTGTGCCAAGCCGAGACTTTGGCATTAGTCTATCAAATGCATTAATCCACTGAAGACATTAGAGCCCTCATCATTGAATCCCTTCCCAAAAGTCCCACCTCTGGACATTGCTGCATTGGAGACTAAGTCTTCAACACATAAGTTGTTGGGGGGACAAAACTATAAAAGGTGCCATAAGGTAGTGAGGAAAGAGAAGTGGTCAGATATCAGTGTATTCAAGGTAGAATGGAGAGTTATGTGCATATTCTGTGGATTTATTGCAAGGAGAGTGAAGACAAGGTACACTATTGTATTATTATATTGAGGATCATGAGTGTAGGAGATGTGTGTGGAACGATGAGGACTGCAGTATCAGACATGCTGGCATGATGTTCCTATGAGAAATGTGAAACCTAGTGTGGAGATAAAAACAAACAAACAAACAGAAAAACAGATGACATTTGAAGCCATGACAGCGAGTAAAATTGACTAGAGTACAGTGAAGTTATAACTCAATTAGTGAAGACATAGGGATAAGTTCTGACTCCCTCCAAATTTTAAAGTCAGCCAAAGAGAAAGTCAAAGTCAAAGGAGATTGAGGAGTAGGTAGGAACACAAAATCGTCCCCCCCACAAAAAAAGGAGAGAATATTAATTCAAAACAATGTTGAGATAGAGTGGATTTCAGGAGAACTATGGTAATGGTGATGGTTGTTTATTTCATACAGGTCAGTCATTTTATAGATTAAAAGGGTTCATTCATTTTGACAAAATAGATTATTGCTCATCTTAACTCAATCAAGAATTGGGTTTTGTAGAAACCACACTCAAGTGGATTGAAAAGTAAATTGAATGTGAGATAAATGCAAATACTATGAGTACAAAGACAGATATTTGTGTTCTGTATCCTATGGTTGCAGTATAATTAGGTAATCTCCAATTTATGAGCATGTAAATTATTTTTTACTTTCAGGTACCTTTTGGATGCATTTCTAGAAATCATCATTGATATCTCATTTTTATTATTACCAAAGTTTGCAGATTTGTTTACCTTAAAGCAAATAATGTTTGGGTTGGTTATTTTCAATTTTTATATGTTTTTGAATTAATTTATTTTCTAAGTTCTGATACTTACTCTAGATGAAATAACAATCACCCTAATATAAGAACAGAAAATAAAGAATAAATGGCTTCAGAACTTCCTGAAATATTAACTTAAATAAGCATGGGTTTTTTAAGTACTCAGTGGACTGAGTTTATGTTGTCATGTACTTTGAACCATTTGCTTTCATGTTAGCATTTGTATATTTTCCCTGTAACTATATTTATAGTCTAAGTAAATTTTGTTTAAAAAAACATTAAAGTGTTCTTTTAATATTTATGTTTTATGTGTTTTAGAGTATCTAATTTGTTGGCAGAACATGGCCCTCTAGGATCTGGGGCCTATAGATCAGTAGGTGAATGGCTAGAAGCAATCAAGATGGGCCGGTATACAGAGATTTTCATGGAAAATGGATACAGTTCAATGGACGCTGTGGCTCAGGTGACCTTGGAGTGAGTAATTTTTTTCTGATAATTTTTATGTAATTTCTGGGGCAAGAAAAATTGTTCAGAAACCAATCTGGATGAGAACAAGGGAAATCAGTTAACCTCTGTCCATGTGTGGCAGTTTTCAAAGAAGCCTCATCTTTTTTAGCCTGTATTGTTAACAACTGCATGGTTAATGCTTTTTGTGACCAGTATCTTTGTGGTTTTTTTTTTTTTTTTTTTTTTGCTTCAAACAAATAGCATTTGAATATTTGAATAATTGGAATAAGAGCTCCATTGCAAAGTACTGGTATTTTGTGTTGTGGAAAAGATGTTTTCTTGAGAAGTTTTTATACTGGTACCTATGTTATATGAATGTAAATACAAAACAAAACAAACTGTAAGCACAATTGGTGTGGCTAATCCTACATAACAACAAAACATATTCCTAAATTTCAGTTCTCTACGATGAATATCCAGGTAACAACAGCTTAATCAAAGCCTCCTTGGCAGGAATCTCATTTAAAGTCTAAGTGGTGCATCTTATATTCTTACAATCCAAGAATATCCTAGATCCTGCCTTCAATTTGTTATTTGGTACAATCTCAGTGGAACCAATTGTGCCCTTTTCTGTTTGCACGTTTAAGATAAAGCTTATCAAATCTTATTAAATAAAAATCACTAGAGTTAAATATAAAATCATTTAAGGTTGTAAGTTGTTTGTATTTTATTATATACTCTGTATGTGTAATTATTTTAGCCTACTTGTTATTTGTGAAAATTAACTGTCCTAATGGTGGTTCCATCTAGACTACATTACCATTAATGATAGCTTACATCAAATTACCTGCAAACTCAAAGGTTAAAATATTGTTGTAAGGATTAGAAAATGTTAAAATACTCTAAACTACTAAATCACTGTCTTGATATCATTACTTCCCAAAATAGGACCATTGAAGAGTTCTCTTCCCATCTCTGTTGTTCTGCCACTCTTTAATTCATTAAATTCACTGCTCATCCCCACAAAAGGTAACAGGGTACCATCATTTATCACTAATTAATGTCACATTCTCAGCATTCTCTAACTTCATACCGAGAACTAAACTGACCTAAATTGCAACCACTCAGCACTCAGCTTGCTTTCCTGACTCATTTAGTCCCATCCTCACTGTCACTGCCAGACTATGCCTACTTGATGACATATATGCTTTGCCCATTATTCCTTTGGACATGTGTGCTATATTTAAAATAGTATACAGAAAAAATTATTGATTATTTAAAACTATTTTTACATGATTGCTATTTAATTTTTCAGTAAAAATGGTCATTTTAATTTATTAAAGTCATTTGTCATTTTATATTAAAATGATACTGTAGGTATTTCTTCTACCCAATGTCGGATTACTTGTAAATATATAATAAAATTATTTGCATTAAACAATGTCTCTTTTTTATTAAGATAGCATCTATTCTTATATGTATACACACACACACACACACACATATATATATGTGTATATATATATATAATTTAATCTACTTAGTTTTTATTTCTTTATTGACTGAACTGTTGTAATCAGAATGGTTTTGCACTAATTATTTGTGTTGTATTTCTTTGGGGCCTCCAAATACTATAAATATGCTGAGTATGTATGCATTATAGTTTCACTTTTCTTACTCTTTGCTATTTACTTTCCTGTGTGCTCTTCATATCACCCAAACTCTCTTCATTGTGTATGTCTTCTTTCTCAAGTTTTAACAACCTCTTCTATCTTCTTATAATGGTTCTTCTCTAGCTTGTTGTTTCTTGCTATACAGCCTCATTTAGATATTTTTGCCTTTTAATGTATTTACTCTGACCAAAAGGGGAAGGTAAAACTAGGAGACTTAGTATATTTCCAGTCCAGCCAATGTTGGTCTTCTGATGTCCACTGCTTTAAATTCCCAGGGCTCATAATCATTAACATATTCCTTACTAGGAATTAGGGCTACAAATCCTAATGCCAGTAAAACTGACTTCTTAGAGAATCCAGCAACACTAAATATATATTCTCTTCTTTACTGTGCTTTTGAATCCACAGTTTTCCTAATAAGTAAGAAGATATTTATCAAGACACTATGTTAAATAACATACAAAATGAGGAGTAATCAGTTATTTATTCAGTTAAGAATTTATAAAACAAAAAAGATAATCTGTGTATCTCTCTTGCTCTTCAACAAAAAAATAAAAATAAAAAACCTAGTAAAAAAACTAATTATTAATAGCAAAGGAAAAAAGGATTATCAACAAAAATGCAGGACAGCCTGATAATGATTTTTCATACCTTCTCCACCAAATATGTAAATATTAATTTTATGAAGCCCATATAATGCTATAATAAAATAATAAAATATTATATCTAGAGTTATTGTTGTGGCCTGTTAGATGCAAGAATACATCCATAGCTCTTGTCAATGTTTAGAAAAATATTTAAATCAACTTTAAATAAAGCAAATGCTCAAACTGCCATGTATAAAACATTTGTTGTAATTGTTGACATCAAATTTGTTTTCATAGTTGATTTAGAACAAGAAGAGTTAAAGCACAGTTTTTCAGAACCATAATGCTTTGGTAAAAATGTACTTCATGAAGTTTTAGTTTTATTTCTTTATGGACTGTTTGCCAGTACATGTATATATGTATGAATGCAGAAACATGAAGAATTTGAAGATTTGGGAGTCATTGCATATTCCATGAAATAACTTTCAACCTTAGTTGTTTCTGTGTGTTGGTCTCTCTACCTATACCATGTTAATCAGTGTACAGTTTTCATATTTGAATAACTGTTGTGCGGTAATGACAAAAGGTGTACTATCATATATAAGTGCACTGAGTTGTTGTTGACAGGGAATTGTAAGCCTGAGGCATGTTTCAAATTGATTCCAAAGATCTGAATTAAAGACAAAGTCACAGCTGCTTTTTTGACTTCTTGTCAAGCCAGTACTGTCAACTTTTGGTTATTCAGAAAAATGAGCAAAACCCAATGAATTCAAATATTATACCAATTGTATACAAGCTAAAGGCATCCATGTTAGTACCAGTTCATAAAATTGAGTCTTAAAATATTAAAATAGACATTTTCCAAATTTAGAGCCAAAATGTGTGCAGATTAATTCAATTAGATTTATTAAATTATCAATAAAGTCAAGATGCATAAGTTAGTATGTAAAATATACATGTGTAGGAGAATTCCATATCTTTGGTGTTCTATGTAGTTAAGGCAAAAATCCAAGTCTAGCCCTTACCATGTATTACCTAATGAAAATGTTAATAGGCCATGATTAAATAAATCTCCTTTTGCCAAATATAAATATACCAACCTTGTACAGTAGTTATACAAATAATTATAAGGATTATTTTTTTAAAATATACCAAAAAAATGGAACTGTATGACAAAACCACAAAAGAAGCTAAAAACACTGGATTTTAGTGAATGTTCATTAATCTCTCTTCTCCCTTCTCCTATTAAGCCAATGTTGATGAGTTTAAATTCTAGTAATATAGCTACCAGGTATGTATGTTTAGCAAAAAGGAGAAGAATGAGCAAAGAAAGGAAACATCCACAAATGGATTAATTTTACCCTGAATAATCAAGAGTTCACTTAAATATCAGCTAGACACCTCTTATAATAATTTATTTTTTCTTCTACTAGTTTGTAATCATGATATGATAAAACAGTGTTTTCGCATTGTTTAAAGTCATGAAAAAAAAGGTTTAAAAAGATGATGAATTGTAATCCTAACAGTGGAATTTTATTTTACTTGCAGCTCTTCTAAAACAAATCATGTGTTGGCAATAAAATATAAACTATTTTATATAAAAACACTATTCTTAACATATGTAAATAGGATTATCATCATTGGAATTGACATTGGATATTAAGATTATGTATGGTCATCATGAAATTAATAGAATATATTTATATCTTTATTAATTTTGATGTTGTGCTGAGGATCAAACCCATTTAAAAGGGAGACACACTAAAAATTACCTAACTAAAAATATCTTACATAGAGAAACAAAATGAGAAAAATGGTGTAACATGCACCATTTCCAAATATTTCTTTCAAAAACCATTGTATATATGGCAGGAACATAATCACTATATATAAATATTTTTCTCAAATTTCTGTCATTATTACTGCTAATCTGATCATTTAATGCATGCATTAGATAGAAAATGGAAATTGTTGGAAGTAATAAAGAGTGTGAGACAAACCACTTACAATACAATACTTCAATAATGCATTTATCAGTATTAGAATAAGGGCATTTAACTTGTGCTGTAGACAGTTTCTAATGTCATTTCAATTCTCAAAGGAAGTACCATTAAAAACATGATTGAAGGGGTTTCTAAAGAAACTACTTAGAATAACTTATTGAGAATAAGTAAACTTGAATAAAAAAAATCTTATATTTCCCTAACGTTTCACTGAAAATCATATTATATGGAGATATATATACACATTACCTCAAAATCATGCTATTTTTGTCCTTAATTTGATATTTTAAATGACAAGTCTACTGGGCAAGGTGACACATGCCTGTAATCTTGGCAGCTAGAGCAACTGAGGCAGAAGGATCACCAGTTCAAAGCCAGCTCAGCAAAAGTGAGGTGGTAAGCAATTCAGTGAGACCCTGTCTCTAGATACAATACAAAATAAGGCTGGGGAGGTGGCTCAGTGGTCAAATATCCCTGAGATCAATACCAGGTACCCCCTCCAAATGACATGATTTAAAGAAAAACAGTAACATCCCATTAAAGACACACATTATTTAAGGCAATATGCAAAATGCAGTTTGATATTTTCATAACTCCACTTCTCCTTTGAAGAGAGGGGAATGAAAGGAAGTGCAAAGGAGGAAGAAAGAGGCAAAGTGAAGGTACAGAATGAATTTTAGTGGTCTGACCATCCATATGCAACTGAGAGAAGCATCAAACAATAAATTGATCTGAAAATAAACTTTTATGCTTGGTTCACTGGAAAGATAGAAATGATTTTAACATAAAACCTACATATCTAAAATAAGCAAACTTTACTTTCCCTTAAACACAAATTCTATACCATATTTATTAATCAATCCATTCCTCAAAACATTTATTCTTTAGCATTATTTTATGGAAAAATTTATAGTCTTTGTGTGGTCAAGTCATTTCCAGAGAAAGAAGTCATATTTATAAGTTAATGCAGTGGATACAAAAATAAGTCAAACTACAGATTTGATGTTATTCCGACCAAACAACCAGGAGTTGGAATATGGAACATATACATACAAACTCCTTTCAAATTAAAGTTTTTTTTATTGTATATGAAATTTCCATGATGTTTGAGTTGGAAAAAATCTATGAATTACTTTTTCAAGTCACTAAGAACTGTAATTGTTATTCTCAAAAATATTATTTCTAATAATTAGTATAACAATTATGAATTATATAATTTAATGATATGCATATGTGTATTTAAATATATATTTATATTTCCCAGATTGGATTCAGAAATATAATTTAGTATGTGATAGAACATATATTTTAAAATATCAATTCTAGTCCTAATTAAATTTTTTGCAGAACTTGATGGTTTTTAGGTTATGAAATTTAAATTTTGTTCTTTTTATCCTGACTTTGATCTTCACTGTACTAGTGAACACCTATGAATACCTACATCTATACAATTTTTCATGATTCATGAAACATGTGGAGACATAATATTAATTAGCCCATAATGGAAACTGTCATGAAATACAGATCCACTTACTATAGTCTCATCAAAAAAGTTTGTGCTTGGTTTCCTTCTTTAGATATCTTCTTTCTTATGGAATTTTCAATATTTGATGATATATGTACAAATTTCTGGTTTTACAAATGAATAAACTGGTGCATTTTAGTTTGACATGGCTTTGCTCAAAATCATATTTAAGAACAATGAAAAATTAAGAGTATGGATTTTGTGATCGGGTAACTGGTTTTGGTTCTATTCTTTCTACGTACTGACTGTGCCATGTAGCCAAATGACTTAAATTCTCTAAGAATGTGTTAACTAATCCATAAATGGAAATTTTAAAAATAATCTATATCTTAGGTTTTAATATTTTACTAGCAAAGAAGGAGATGTGTATTAAGTGCTACCTATTATATTTATGTTTAGTGATACAATTCTCAACCTGGGGAGATTTTGCCACTCAGAACATTTGTCAATGTCTGAAGGCATTTTCTTTCTTTTAACAACAAGGAAGGATTGGTGGTGGTACAGTGCTACTTTTATCTAATGGGTTGAGCTGGGGTGCTGCTGAATATCCCATGACATACAGAACAGCCCCCAAGAACACAGAAGTGTCCAGCTCATGATGTTAATAGGAGCAAACATGAGAAATTCTGTTAAGTTGAAAAGAGACAAGATTAAATTCAAGTGTTTTTTATTCTTAGTTTATCATTACCTATTATAGTCAATTTCATCACTATACTAACAATAGTTATTTTGCTTCAAAGTAATATTTATTGGCTTCTAAGTTTTGCTGATGATTCTCTTCCATGACACATCTATCATTATTATTTAATATTGTGATTTAGCATCTTGTAACTGTAATAATTTCTAAATTTAATATGCATATTTTAATAATAAATATATCTTCATCATAAGTATCAATAGCATTTAAAAATATTTTTTTGGTTACTTGTCATTTCCTAAAACCTTCACAGGAAATCAAGAAACTATAAAGGGAAAAAAGAAAAGATATTATTTCAGTAAGCAATTCTTTGCAATATCAATATAGATGGAGTAAATTTAATTTTTATTCTCTGATAATTAAGAAAATCCTTTCAGTTCATTTGAAACAATTTAATTTTGCCTATAATAAATCCTAATGTCATTGTCTTCTACATTCTAAAAAAAAATCTGAAATGAAAACATTTACTGAATGCAAAGATACTTCATTATTAGCCTAATCTTTTCAAAAAAGCAATTTTATAACATGCCAAATGACTTTTTTCATTTAGCATTTTAAATTATTGATGCTCATTTTTCCTATACCTAATGCATATTATTTTCTAACTATACCTGAATCATTACATTTGTCAAATACACACTTTATGGGAAGAGCATTCTTAAGTTTCTATGAAATAACATTGAAAAATCATAGATGCATGGGTGCAGGAAGCTTCATAATATGCCTGGCTAGTTTAGAAATCTAAACATTTGTAATCTTCTTTGAATAATGTGCTTGTTTAAAAAAAACATAAGAAAAGTATCTTGTTTGAAGGACTTTTTGAAAGTGTGTAATCTTCAGCTCTAAATTTCAGTAAAGTTTAAATGTTATTTGATAAAGGAGAAAAGCTCTGGTATTTTGAGTTCAAAGCAAAAATTAACATAAAATATTGTTATAAGAGCAAAGTATTGATGATTATTCCCTAAGTATATCTGTTATACATAATTATTTTATAGAATGATTCATTTAAACTGTTCAGTCTTCAACCACTTGACTGTAAAATTTTAAATAAATATTTTGTGCTCCATGAAAAAAAAATGCACGTTATAGGTTCACAATTTTAAAACTGTTCAATGAAATAGAACCTTTCAAGTTCAATACTTATTGGTAAGATGTGAAAATGTGTGTGTTCACCACTCTGTGTCATTAAAATCATTCTGTTTACCAAGAGGGGTGAATATGTTTTGTATAATTGCCTGTTATAGATACTTCATTGTCTGCAAAAAGGTTTTTTAGAGGTACAATTTCAGAGACTACCTTTGATATTTGAACCCTGAATGTCTAAATTGGGACTGAAATTTACTAGTTTCTGCAAGAAGTTTGCCCCAGCGTGAAATTTTGAGGTGTGCTACAAATTGAACCAATACATACATCCAATGTGTGCTTTCTTCATGCAGGGATTTGAGACGGCTTGGAGTGACTCTTGTCGGTCACCAGAAGAAGATTATGAACAGCCTTCAAGAAATGAAGGTGCAGCTGGTGAATGGAATGGTGCCATTGTAACTTCTGCTAATGTCACTTCTTCCAGTGAATGATTCTGCACTTTGTAAACAGCCCTGAGATTTATTTTAACAAAAAGAAAGGGGAAAAAGGGAAAACAGTGATTTCTAAACCTTAGGAGAGCTATGTCTCATCCACAGAATTTGTAATCAGTGTTTCACTAAAATCTCCATATCTTCCTCTCAGTTTCTTCATTTTTCATGAAGCAACAATGACCTTCAGAAAATAAGAACAAAAATACTATCTTATGTTACATAAAAATCCTCACTACTACTTCTACAAAATTTTTACACGAAAATACAAATATATAGCACCTTCACAGACTAAATTAAGGCAGCCCCTTTCAAAACTTCCAGGGATCTACTTGAAAGGAAAAGTCTTATAGCCATTTGTGGGCTAAGAAAAGCTGCAGTTTACTGAAGTTTACTTCAAGTCTTAATTGTCTACATAAGTGTATTGAAGAGCAATATGATTAGATTATTTCTTAATACATATCTTCTTTTGTAATTTTAAAATGCTATTTACATGGTGTTAAGTTATAGAAACTAGTTTATAAACACATTGCTTGATCAAGGAAAAGTACAATGCAGGGTGTGTATTTATTTTTCTGTGTTATAAAATTTACTTTTAGTTGCTCTTCTAGAGACTATTAGTAATAAATGTGTATATATTGTATATTTTGCAATATATCTGGGAACTGATTTAAGTTGGAATTGTGTGAGTATGCTTGCATATGTGTGCATTATCATTCTGCTTGCATTTTAATAGTGTCTCAATTTTAGCAACATATAAGGACAAGTGTTCCAGAGTGTATTACAAATAAGAAAAATAGGGAAGCAGTAAAACAAAATTTAACACAAGCTGGTGTCTCTTTTTCCCTCATGTGTCCGAAAGCTACTAATCTCTTTATTCACTAACAGGAAATGTCTATAAGATTAAATCCCCTTTGGCTTTTTAAAAACACTTTGTGATATCTGTGACAATGCTGCTCTTCTCGCCATTAATCTTGCACCCCTGTAAGAAATGTCACCTTTCTGGTTCCCAGAAAATATCTTGTCAAGCAAAGTTGACACCAAAGGGCAAATTTTCAGCAGGATATAGAAGGATTTAACTGTGCTGGCTTCTGTTAATGTTGTTAAATCCAGGCACATAGCACTAAGGATCACCCTTAAGTGTTAATCCTTTGCAACCATTTCCATTGTGCTTCATTTCTAGACATTTTGATACTAACAAAGCAATGAAATGATGATGAAAAATACATATTTTTCCTTCAGAATTTTCTTTATTTCAAGTTTTTTTGTTGATGGATGTTTATTAATTTGGTAATTTCACTTTGCATTCAGTTACTTGACATTGAAATTATTTTGAGGAACCAACCTGAAGTATTATTTAATTGGACTTATTAGGGAATATAAGTCATATCTTCTGAAGGTTTCATAAATATACCTGGTGAAGAAGGGTAAATAAACCATGGTAAAAATTACATAATTTATTAGAAAGCATACAAAACTGAGCTCCTTTTGTTAACAAAAGTTCTGTATTATTGCACATTATTAAAATCATGTAATGGCACGTGATCATTCAAGGAGCAGAGTACTTGAATTAGATATCACTTACTCATGATTCTCAATGGTAATAGTAAGTATGTCAGAGTATCCTTGGAGTGGTGGAATCCATAGGACATGTACTTGTGTTACATTAATTGTACTCTCTTTTTCCTAAGCACCTGTTTTACTTGAATGTTGATTTATATAAGAATAAACTTGTGGGGAATAACTTCTTTCTATCCTGCCCACCCTTTACTTAAGCTGTAATGTAACATTTTGTCAAAGCACAAGAAAAAGCCAAAACAGCAACAAAAAAGAAGGGAGAGAGAAATGGTCTAAATACTTTTCAAATTACGCATTGAGTTCCATCTCTGTAGAGTACCATGGCTCCATATAAACTATGCTGTAAGTGTGCTCTATTAGGTTAGTGAAATTTCCAGAGAAAGTTGAGAAAATTAATATTGTTTTGATAAAGTCACAAGTAAATAGACATTACTGTTACTAAAGATGCATTTGTTCAATACAGGGAAATGTTGAAACTAAATCCTTTTTTACAAAATAATTGGAGATTGTGTTTCAGTACACTGAATTTTGTAAAGAATGCAAATTTAAGTGATAAAGTATCAATTGAGAAACTTCAAAGTAGGAAAAGACTTAAGAATTGAAAAAGAAAGTTGTTATACGTTTGTAGAACAGGTGGACAAGCCAATATTGTTTGGACATAAAATTGTTTCCAAAATTGTTTTCCAACTTTGTATTTTCAGAGCCAATTGGGATTTTTGGGGTGGTGTATATTTAAGTGACTAGAAGTTACAATGTACATTTACACATTTACACAAAGAAAGAATATATATTAATTTGGATTGAGTTGATTTTCCTCCTTTGCAATATTGGTGTTCATTTCAGAAAAGGATTCTAATTGAAAATTATATAGCCCCCATATAGCTTTCATCTGTATCTCAAGTTGGTTGAGAATTTTTTTAATGTTGATAAGATTTTTAGAACAGATAAAGAGATTTTCAAATAAGATGTACTCTGCCCTCCAAAATAGGAAAGAATAATTTTCTAAAATATTTGTTCACCACTGGATATGTCACCAATTGGAAAGAGCCAATCTCATCTATACCTGTGAGAAATAGAATGAGGAGAACATGACAATTTTCTGAAATACAGTGAGGCTGTAACTCAGGGCAAGATTTGAAAATCTCAATTGTATAATTTTTATTCTATTGAGTATTCATTTTGTCACCCATCAGTTTACCAAAAATAAAGCATAGATTAGATAATTTTAGCATATACAATAGATTTGCCAAATAATATGCAATTTTTTTGTAGCAATATCTTTAGGGCATCGTCTTTCTCAGTGTTAGACTTTGAAAAACAGGTATGTCCAGAGAGTTATTTTCACTTTATTGATACCTGTTGAAGTCACTCAATTACTACTTTTATCAATCATAATTTGTTGCTAATCTTGCCATTTGCTCACATGTAATATGACACATAATCAGTTCCTCTTTTTGAAATGTATTAATTGTACGTAAAAATGTAAAGATATTCATTGTCCCATCTTTAAAAATGTTAATGTGCATGACTTTTTATTTCATATATTTTATTCACCAACTCAGTGTTCTGAAATTTTAGGATCACTGTAAAATTATATCCCAGGTTAGGAGTGTAGCTCAGTAGTAGAGTGCTTTGCCTAGCATGTGCAAGGTCCTGGGTTTTATTCCCAATACTAAAAAAAATTGTACCCCAATATTTCATGTAAACCTATGTGTAATCAGCATCATTTTAGAGTTGACTAAACAACACAAAACATTTGTAATTCTGTTTTAGAAAGAGTTTTGACCAGTGTGCAATGATGAAGGCACCATTTCATATCTCAAGTTTAAACTACAACATTGAGCACTAATGCATTTGCATGACCTGCATTTAATTTCTATGTGAAAGTAAAATATTTTGAAACACGGTACTTTCTCCCATTTGAAGTGGGTTCTCAGAAGCACAAGTATAGATATTTACCTTTGGAAGCTTTTGTGGCTGTAATGGATAGCAAACACTATTGAGTCAGGTATTAGAAATTTACCAGATGTATAATGTTGCATAGTAAAATAAGGTTCTTTTCTCATTTTGTTTGTTCTAAAAATAAGAAAAAAAGAAAGAAAGCTAATTGTGATAGTAAACTGTCTTTGTTTATGTCCTTCCAGATGTTTAACTCAAAATAAATACAAAGTAGGTACCATATGGTGGTGATGACAGCAGTGACGATGATGATGAATAAACAGAATCAAATGCTAGCTTTATTTGAAACTGAATAACTAGAATAAGTCATCATTATTTTCAACTCTAACACAGCTGGTTACATTGAATATTTTCTCTCTATTATGCTGTTAATTATATAGTAATGTATCAAAAAGAAATAGATAAGAATTTTTTTCATTTCTTGTTCATTTATGAAAAAGTCTTTTCACATATAAATGACTGAACGTTCTTGTTTAGAATGACCATGTTATTATTGCTTTGAAGACACCAATTCATTTTTTAAAAATAAGTTTATAATAATCAGAAACAAATGTTGCTTTTTCTTTGAAATGTTAATAGAAATAATTGAAGGTGGCCAAAATATATCATGTTATTCCTGCTGGGGGCTTTATTATCTGAAGTTTGAGTGGTCAACATATTTGTGAATTTTTAGACTGCTGTAGTTTTGCGATTAATTATGTAAAAGTGTATAAATTCCACTTATAATAGTCTGAGAATAAACTTAGACTCAGTCATTTGTTGATATGTTATCTTAGTTTCAGGCAGGTGAGAGCAGCTGCATAGCATATTTTATTCTATGATAGGCATCAAGATATCTGAAGTCCCTGTCTCAGAGTTAATTCAAAGAAGGATTAGCATTTCTGTATTTCTTTTCCCATTTGAAGCTCTATGTGCTTTTGGTTTGTGTACATGTTTTTGTAGTGTAAGATATGAAATTTTATATTTTTTCAGAAAATAAAAAAACCCTTTGAATACAGTTAAATCCGACTGTCATGCTTGACCCTCTCCCAGTACTTTAAATTTACAATCTTTGTATAATGATTTCAGTTAGTTCTAATAAAAATGTTTGAATTTCCTATGCTATATATATTTAAAAGGCCACCAGGATTTGTTTTTTACAAAGAGATTTTCACGAACTTTTGCATTTGAATGATTTTTTGAAAGTAGAAATTGAGATTATGGAACATAAACTTTCTATGACAACTCCCAATTAAAAGTTATTTGTGACAGCACAGTACAATATTAACTTGGAAGAAAAACAGCTGTGTGCAGTATCTACAAAGAAGAGCTTTTATTGACCAGTGTCAGCCTCTGTCCTTCTCTTCACTATGCAGCTACTATGTTAAAGAAAGAGGAGTTGCTTACCCAAGGAAGAGGTATTATTAAGTACAAACCCTCCTTGCTTCTTGTAAGTATTATATCATACAAGTCTCTTTTCATAAAAAGCATAGCAAAAAAATCTGCTGCACTCAAGGAAATGATTCACACTTTCAGTCTTTGTATCTGCATCATAATAAAGTGATATCACTATGCCCATGAAAATAATCCATAATTCCTTTGCCTGTGCATAAAACTCAGCAAAGTAAGAATAGTATTTAATCTTTTAGTGAATAGTCTGATACAAATATTTCAGAGTACTTTATTACCAAGTAGAATATTCTTGCTTCTGTTTTGCTACAGAAGTAAAGATTGTATAAAAAAAGAAAATTTTCCCCAATCCTGTATTTACTCTTGACCAGATAGGAGAATAGGGTGGCAAAGAAAAATTAAAATTTAATGAAAATGCACCATTCTGTATTCAACTTTTTCATTCTTACCTTTGAAAATATGAATATTATTGCTTCCTTTTACTGATGATGAAACAGGAGCTCAAAGATGTTAAGAAGTTGCCCAAGACCTGACTACTCTTCAAAGGTAGAATGAAACCCATGTTTATTTTATACCAAATACATGAAAATTATACCACATTACTCAGACTCCACATTGTTAATCATGCTATTGAGACAACAGAATAATTTATAGCACCTTTTAAATTAAACGACACAAAAAATAAGAAGCATTGAGAAAAAATAGCTACACGTTTTCATGAAGCAAAGTGAAAATCTTGCGTTGAAAACCAGAATCTGACTGATCACAGTCTAACATGTTTAGTTTTGAGTATAAGTCAGACTTTGGTAATCAAAAACAATTTATCTGATTTGTTATTCTACCACTGAGTAGCATCCCAAAGTAATTCATTTATTCTAGGATAGGTCATGATTTTTTGCAACAACTACAAAATGATTGCATAGACTTACAATTTTCTACAAGCTCAGGAAATTGAAAAAAAAAGGTTACTTATTTCTAGCTATAGTCTCAGAACATCAAGTGTCTGGGCAATTTGCTACCTAGTTGTTGTTAAACCCAAAGTAAAATAAATAAGTTATTAGCAGATTAAAAATAATAAACTACATAAAGCTGTCAGAAATGCTGAATTATAGATTTATTTCAGAGCAAGAGTTATTCTTTAATCTTCCCTATTTAAAAAAAAAAAACTGTTTAGGAAAAAAATCAAATTTACTATGATGATACTCAATTTGAAGTTTCTATCTCTTTCCAAGTTACAGACAGTAAGAATTAATTGAGCATTGCAAGCAATTTTATGATATTGGATTTCTAAACAAAACTATTTTTTTATTTATTAGCTTTTTGTTACTATTTTATTATAATAAAAATTTACACCAAATCCCAAGTAAAAGATGTCACTCTATAATAAGTGATGAAGATATTTTTAATTAATTATTTTTATATATGTGACAAATTTCTTTCATGAAATAAAATTCATTCATTGTGAATAAATTATTTTAATTATCAATCATTACTAAGTCAAAGATGTTTTAACAAGAGGTTCAAGTTTAGCCTAGTCCTAATGCTTTTCTCAGTTATCTGACAATTAGAAATATAGTTGTGATTTTTAAGCATCATGGTGTCTTTTACTCTAACTTTACTTCAGAATTATTCAATATTTTATATTGCTTTATATTTTGATTTTTTAAAAAATATGTTATAGCCAGGTGTGGTGGTACATACCTGTAATCCCAGTGACTCCAGAGGCTGAGGCAGGAGAATTGCAATTTCAAAGCCAGACTCAGCTACTTAGGTGAGATCTTCATCAATGTAGCGAGACCTAGTCTCAAAATAAAAATTAAAAGAACTGGGGATGTAGCTCAGTGGATAAGCAATCCTAGGTTTAATCTCCAGTAGAGGAAAAGAGTACCAACTCTAAAGAAAACAGTTGCAACTCAGAAAAATATGTTAGAGGCAATTTTTGTGTCTTTGCTTAAAATGTCCTGTCAGATCCCTCTCATTGGACTGATGGCTTTCCTGGCTACAAAATTCTTAAGTTATTTTTTTTTTTTACTTCACAACTTTGAGGGCATTGCTGGGTTTTTGTTGGTTTTAGTTTTTTGGGGGGTTATGTTGTTGTTGTTATCCTTTGTCTCTTGACACTTTTTTTCTCTTTCTACCTCAGTGAACTTTTTCCTCTTACTGGAAACTCACAGGAACTTCACTTCTAACACCTGCCCCCATCTTGTTTTACCTGCTGCTTACTTGGTATATCCCCAATTTAAAGATAAAATCCACCGTCCAGGAAAATTTTATATATTTTTTTCTTTTATTATCTTCTTTTATAGCTCTTTTCTTTCTCCTGGGAGCTTCTAATGTCTAGATGATGGACCTTCTAAATTTATATCTTCCATATTTTTATCTCTGAACATTTTCCTGTAACCTTAACCTTAACTGAAGAAGGTCAGGCTCCATCTATCCAATTTCAGATAGTAAGATTTTACCTTCTTCAGGGACATTTGCTTTCCTGGAAGAGCCACATGATTTCTACCTCTTGCTATGTTTGCTGAAATACTTATAATTTCTTTTGGGCTCTACTTACATTTCTTCCAGATTATAAACCTGCACTTTGTCATTCTTTTTGCCACTCTTTCTTGTAATAAACAAAAAGAAAATACTTTGTTAAATTAATGCAGAAAGTTAAAACAGAAGGAAAGAATGCTATTACCTATTCTTCCTCTGCCATTGAGCCCATTGTGGAGACTCTAGTTTCCAAATGTATTATCTCTAAATAAAAATCTGATAAATACAAATTAAGATTTTTATATGTAGCAAAAAGACCATAAGCAAGTACGAATAACAGTTCTGTTTGTGAATGCACTTTTCTGTATAGAGTGAGCATTGTCTATGCAAAACAAAACAAAAAACTTATGTTGTTTGCCCATTTTTTTTATGACAGATCCAAAACCATTTTTTTTATTTCATCTTAAGTGGCATGAACTTAGAAATAATTCTTTTTTTTTGCCTAGAAGTTATAGTTTCTCTCTTCCACCATCATCTCCATTAGTTTTCTCTTAAGCTCCAGAAAAAAATAAATGAAAAATCTGATTCCAATTAAAATGAAATTCAAGATAAAACCATCATCATTGTTTCTAAGCAAATTTGCACATTAAGATTCCCTCAGAAAATATTCTAAACTGCCACTGTAGGACCAAGATTGGTGGATATTGCAGAATACACATGAGAAAAATATATTTATACTTTAATATTTGCTCTTGTATTATTTGTCAGGAATAAATTAGGATAAAGTTTTGAGGGTTCTTGATATTCTGGGCCACTGGCCATTCTTATTACCATGAAGCAAATGGTACCCAAACTCTATTTCATAGTAGATAACCTATAGAACATTATGTTGTGAACTTGCCAAGAGTTTCCATGTTATAACATACACAGAAATCTTTTATCATGTCTTTGATGCTAGAGATGAAATAATTTTTTTGACAAGAAGGCGTAATGTGCTTGGAAAAGACAAAATTTTATATAGAAATAAATTTATCAAGAATTACATGAAAGAAGCTTATTCTCTTTTAAATAACAACAACAACAACAACAATAATAATAATAATAATAATAATAATAATAAAAGACTTTAGACTGCTAGAGACCTATTGTCCATCTCAGTTCTGATTATTTCTATATATGGTATTTGAAAGAATTCTACAATACTTCCTTATATTTCTTCAAAGATTTTCTGGTTTGATTCTCAAAGGGATTCTGTTAATCAGAATGGGAGCTCTTCTTTTTGTGGATCAGGAAACTAAATTTCAGTGGTATGGACAATGAAAATCATGGATCTGTTCAGCTGAAAGTCTAAAAAAATTCCAAGGCTCATAAAAGTCTTCCTTTAATCTAGTGACTAAGGCTAATGGCAAATAGCAATAATACAAGCATTTGTTGAATGCCAACATCTTCCTAATTCAGCAGTGATTTCACTCATCTACATTTTCATCCCATCTTAAAACATTACTTTTACTGATATATTAATTCTGGTTTTCTTTTCAACAAAGACAGAAACAGATACACTTCAGAGACAAAATGACTTTCTTCAGATCACATAGCTCATGAATGTATCTCATCTTTCCAAATTAACCCTTCTTCCCCTGAGTTCCAGATAATGTTCTCCTTCCTGATTTAGAAATTGTTCCATCAGTTGTCCCTGTTTGAGAAAGTCCTCAGCCATCAGTTTTCATGGCTCCCTTCTCTTTGTCTGCATCTACTTAAGGAAGTAAAGCTTCATGGTTCTTGGTTCTTTTGATCCAGTTTGTCATATGCTACTCTGTCTCTTACTAGTGGGTGTGTGAACTCAGGCAAGACATTTAACCACTCTGCATTCAGGTACCTAATCTCTAAAATGCTGAAAAAAACTGTTTTAAGAACATATAACTAGGAAATGTGAATATAGTACTGGGGCATAATAATTTCCTAGTAAATATTACTTATTTTGACACCATACAGTACATTTCTTTAGTGTAAAATATATTAAAGAGTTACCTTCACTTTTTATCTTTTTTTTCTCACTTATTTTACTGCATCTTTTCTCTCTTTACATTATTATAACCTAACACATTAATAATTTCAAACATAAGATTTAATAAG